TTTCTTGTTCCCTTTCTTCCCCTCCTATTATTGAGGTGGAGGAGTGCCTTTTGGAGAACAAGTGGTGCCATTCTACAAGCATATAAAGAAAATCAAAAAGTTCTGAGACCTTGCTTTTGCTCCAGGTGTAAGACCAGGAGTTAAATTACTGTGTAGAAAGAGAAGTATTCCAGGAAGGTAGAGCCTGTATGACATTTAAGTGAAATAATAATACTGTTCTAGGCTGAGCTCAGCTGGAGTGAGAACTTCATGTGCTTGCATTTGCTCTCTTGAGAAATGCTTATGACAGAAGAACATGCTGCTTGTTGAATTTTCACAGGACACAAACATTTGTTTTGCTGGTTCCATTCTTCTTTTTGCTTACATTTCACTTTGTTTCACGCAATTTTTGTTCTTATGTGGGTTTTGACAGCAGTACTTCTTCAGGTCTGCCCAATCTCTCATCCTGCAGCCTCAGTGTCACTGCTGAGATAATGTAGGATGGTTGTGACAAAGATGGGAATCATACATACATCCTGTCTCTCATCCTGCAGCCTCAGTGTCACTGCTGAGATAACGTAGGATGGTTGTGACAAAGATGGGAATCATACATACATCCTTTGCCTTGTCTTATGCTATCTCATTTTGACCACTGGAGTTTGTGATTATCTATGTGGGGGGAGTTTTTTGTAAATAAATCACTAATTCATAGCTAAATTAATTCTTTTCCAGTCCCTTTCATCTAATGCATCTTTCCACTGTGGTTGGACGTTTCCTTCCTAACACCAAGTAACCATGAACAGCAATTAAAATGAACTGGAATCGGCTATTACCTGGAAACTCTCCCATTTATACATGGGAAGCTAGGCTGATGCTTTTAGTTCTTCTTGTTCTCTTATTCTTTGTGGGTTGTAGTGGCAGAGATACACGCAATATCCTGAAACGGAAATAGAACTAAAAAACAGCTCCATTATGTTGAATTGTGAAACAACTCTTTAGATGAAAGTGCCTTCTGTGCAAGCTCTCCCCCTCCCCTTCTCCTGACACTCCCTAATGTTTTGATGACTATACTTCTGTTGTGGGTTTGGTTTTTTTTTCCCTCTTAAACTTTCAGGTACATTATGGTGCCAAGTGGAAACATGGGGGTATTTGATCCCACAGAGATCCATAACCGAGGACAACTGAAATCACACATGAAGGAAGCCATGATTAAACTAGGCTTTCATCTGCTCTGTTTCTTCATGTACCTTTACAGGTTAGTTTCAAAAATTGCTCGCAAGGAACAAAGGAATTGTCTGCCAGCTATTTTTATCTCCTCTATTCTGCTAGTGTAATTGCAGGTGTTCCTAAGTGTCTTATCTCTTTGCATCCTGCTAAGCTTCAATAATACATTTTGATAGCTATCTGCAGGCTCGTTATATGCCTTTATTCTTTCTGATAAAATGTAGTTTGGAAACTCAGACTACTCCTTAATCTCAAACGCACTGTAAGTACAACATGAAGAGTTATATGATTTCAGCACCTAGCATAATTAGCCTATTTAGAATGGAAATAATCTTGAGGACCAAGTTTATTTTACAAGTTCTGTTTTAGAAAATAAGGTTGATCTGACTAAGTTAGAAACAGATGAGTTCTGCAATGGGGCCACTTACTACAAGATGGAAGAACTACTGTTCTTCTACTGCAGTATTACTTCTGCAGTCCTTGTCTTCATAAGCAAAGCACACAGCATAGTTGCCTTGACTTTCTATTTCAGAATCAGGTGCAGTTCTCTCATGAAAGCGGTAGCTGTTCCTGCTTGCATGTGCTTCAGTAATCCACTGGTATCATGTTTTCTATTTTGTCACAGTATGATTCTGGCTTTGATAAATGATTGAGAAGTTGAAAAAGAACCATTAGCTGCCAAGCTGGGTCATCACTCCAGTGACTGGTTGTGGAGCCACAGACACCTTCTAAACATACCTAGAGCAGTGTCGTCATGCAGTATATTTTTCCTCTTTGAACAAGAAATATTTTTCTGTATTTTTAACATAAAATATTTTCAAAAGACATTGGATTTGTGTAGCAGTTGTTTTTGTTCCTTTACAACTCAAACTGCTGGAGCTGCTGCTTCTGTAAGGTGAAATCCTTGCTTACAGAACTGCTCTCATAGGAATTAAATAGTGAGAATGGAAACTCATTTCAGCAGCATGGGCTGATAATAGTGGTAGTTCCAGAACAAATTTAAGTGCAGCTCTGATGTCTGCTTCTTACTGAAAGGTGTCAGGATGTGCCCCTGGCTGTCAAGCTGTCCTATTAGAGCCTTGTTTGAAGCAGCACTTGGAACATAGATTTCAAAGTGGAACAATAGCACAGCTTGCATCTTTGTGTCAGTGTTTTTTCCAGCTAAAAAGCAATGGAATAAAAATTACACTTTTCTCCCTTTCTACCCCTCCCTCCAACAACCTATATTAAGTCTTGTGTGTGGATGGATTAAGGTCCCTTTAGTGAAGGTGACACTTTTGTCTAAGAGTGAAAAAAACGATAAATAAGAAACATGGCTAGTACTTGCTTTTCCCCTTCAACTCCTATTTTGTCATTGAAATACATTATAGACCTCCATACAAAGTAAACATCACATTGCACCAGGGTTGGAGTTGATTACAGAGCAGACAACTATCTGCAGTCACTACTCCATGAACCTGCTCTTTCCATATCCAGTCAGATAAATCAAGAGTACATCTAGCTCAGGGAGGTGGGCTGGTAAACCATAACCCAGTTATCCCAATTCTGATGTGACTCAGCTTTGAAGACACCAGCAAACTAAGTGCTGTTTGTGTGGCTCTTGCATCAGTGATAAGTATATAAACCTGAGTTTGTACCCTCACTGTTTTTAAATCTTTAATATGTGCATAGAAACAGGTTTTTTGAAACAAACACATCAAGTGAAACACTCCAAAAATACAGTTCTGTAATTAACTCCTAAAATTTATGAGCTTTTCTTTCTTAAGTACTTGTTCTTTGGTGTATAACTGTAGTTAGATGGCTTTCATAGCCAGCAGTGAAAGGACAACACTGAAGCTTGATTTTTTTTCTAGATACCTTGTGTTCAGTGTTTGTTCTAGGAAAAGTTTGGCTTTAAATTTATGATGGATGGAGTCCAAGTTCAGCTGTTGCAAAGATGAAAAACTGCTGAAATTACACTCATTAGAACATAACTAGGGAAACAGCTACCACAGCTGCATGCTACTGACTACTTGACACCACAAAAATCAGACTACAGAAAGCACTGCCTTATAAAGCTGAAACCCAAACAGGATGTAGGTCTGAAAAAAGGAGAGTAAATAAAACTTTAAAAGAGGAGAGTCAGTAACTTTTGTAGCAGCTTACGTAGTAGGTAATTAAGTTACCTTATTTGTATGTGAAAAAACCCATGCTACACGTATGTTGGGTTTTTTCTATTAGAAGAAAGGGCAGTGTTAATAAGCTGCTTGAGGTAAGTCCTTGCTGTAGTGCTACCAGTAGATAAATTTAATTAATGACATTTCACACTGAGAAACCCAATCATTAATCTGTAAGTCTACCACTTAGACTAGCAGTTTTATATCTTATTCTAAAGACATGATTTTGAGATAAAAAGCTTTATTATTAATGAAAATATTTGTAAGCTACATTGTCTTCAATGATTTTTAACTACTAGCACCTCAGAGTTGCAGCGATGACATTAGATAGGGTAGACCCATTCCCTAATGGAATTGGTAAAATTTATCACTCACTATGAAAAGCTTCTATTCTCCTCTACAGGGGGAACTGTTTCTTCAGAGATGGGATCAGGACAGGGAAGGATAAGGGAGAACAACAACATATCTGAAAAAACCCATAAAAATGGGGGTAGCATATGCCTCAATGTATATCCCTGACCTAGAGGGATGTTATTGTGGATTCCTCCCCACTTCCTTCCTCAAAAATGAATTATTAACCATGATAGACCAACAAAAAACACACAGATGTTTAAGTGGTGGTTGTCAACTATTAAACAAGGTATACTTTTTTTACACATATATATTTCCCATCCCACTTTTTTATATAAATAAATTCTCTGTTCATTCATATCTAACAACATGTTACAATAGTTGTAAAAACCTCAGTAGCAGGCTCCAGAGACTACAATTCTGCTGAGTAATTACACTGGTGATTTTGAAGCTTTCCTTACTGTAGAGGGTCATTTCCTGCCTTAACAGAAATCTTCACAGAGCTCAGTATCAGCAACAGGACAAATGTATTTCTAATTGCTAAGAAGGTAGTTCATTAGCTGGGAATAGGGATCGTAGTGTCATCTATCTCACTGGAGATCCACAGAGCACAGAAATTTTACAGTAGTAAAAATCAAAATAAACTCCCTACTTTCTGGGTCTCCATCAGGAGAGAACAGGGTAATTTAAATCCAAGCTTACTATACAGAATTCAAGACAATTACAAATTTTAGACTGATTTTAAATTTAAAAAAAAAAAAACCACCTAACTTTATCACTATGCATCAGTGTGAGACCAAAACAGAGATTCCCTCCTATTCACTCACCAGAATATATTTCCCTTTGGAACTGAGGTATCCAAGTATAACTTAATGAGGGGTCCATTAGCTTATCCTTCAAATGATTAGCTATGATTTATAGAAAGCTCTTAATCAATGAAAATAAATCTGAAGTTGGCCTACAGGGATTCTAACTTTTAACTAAGGTTATTAAGTTCTTTTCCTCACCCACAGTCCCCACCCTAGCCAGCTTGCTAAGATACTAATCTTTCAACAGTTTTCAGAGATATTAGCTGTTATAGTACTGCACTTGGGAGGAGGAGATTAGTTAAAATATGTATGATAACATATTTCCCCCTTATTAATTGTTACAGTTACAGACTTGGTTCTTTATCTTGTTTTAGTAAAGAATATCCTTATGTCCTCATTCTAGTAAACTACTGTTTTATTCTAAAATAGTTCTGTATTATGGAACATAGTAAATCAGCGGGATTAATAGTATAACCAGTAGTCCTAAGAATAGTTCTACATGCAGGTTAACAGTCAACTGAAACCCTGATAAGCCAATAAGAGCAAATCTTTATCTGTAGTATTGGCATAGCTTTAACCTTTTGTTTTTGGTTTTTTTTTTTTCCTCACAAGATGCAGTCCATGATTTTGTACAAATGGTAAGAAAAGACCATTTTTGCCTCTAAGGATATTATGGAAATGATGAAACTGGAGGTGGTGATATAAAAAGTTAGGCTATACTGACCACTGTGCAGTTATCAGTACATTAACTGCCTTATCTTTGGCAGAAACCCTAGAGGCATACAAACTTCAGTGGTTACTCTTCAGAGCATTGTAAGTCTTTTAAAGTGAGGAGACAACAGGGACTGCCATCTTTCTGTGATGAGCAGAAAGCCTAAGCAGCTGCAACACATGCAAAGTAGCAGAGGGAAGCAGCACAGAAAGCATAAGCCAAGGTGTAAAGCGACAGTAAACCAGAAGCTGTCCCTCTGGAGAAGTACCCTACCTCAGGCAGAGTTTGGATTTAAGTTAATTGTGAAATGCTGATCCACTATCAAGTTCCTTATGCAATTTCTTTTAAATAATCTGAAGGGTTAAAAAAAATTACAACTAATTTTAAGTCTTACATATGCTGAAATTTCACAGTACTGTAGAAATCATATACCTGTTTCTCTTGCAATTTTCTCACCAGTTAAAAGGCAGACATAGGACAGCAGGTGAAACACAGTAACAGACCCAGCCAAAAACCTAACTTCCTTCATCTGCTGTGTGGATCCTTCATGGCTGAAGCAGGTCTGCAATCTCACAACCCTCCTGCAAATGGCAGTACCCAAGGGAAGTGGCACAGAGAAGCACATGGAGAGGGATAAGGCATGCCCCTTCTGTTCACACCTGCATTTAAGCCATGATTATCTAAACACTGCTCAAAGGGTAATAATAAGGTTAATACAGAGGTGCTGCTAGAGGGAGTAAAGGCCTTTTCTAATCAGTTTAGAAGCTAAAAGAATTTAAAAATTGAATGCATTTCAGCAAAAGTTGGAGTTTGGAAAAGCTACAGGAAGGGGAGGGCAAATTTAGGCACAGCTTTTTATTTAACAGAACATTAGCTAGAGCTGAATAAAAATGCCTAAAATGCAGGACAAAGATGAGATTCTGTTTCAAGGCACAGGAAAGAGGGACAAAATGCAGGGTTAGTTTGAGAGAAAGGCAACAACTGAGAAGTCTTTTTCAAGAGCTCTCACAGAAGCCACTTAGGTCAACTTCAGATAGAAGTCTGGAGGTCCCTGATCTCCCACTTAAGAAAAGTCTAAACAAGAGATGCAAGTACTTTAGGGGCACCTTCTTAATAGGAGATATCAAAAAACTCCCACAAAATACACTGATCACCTAAAGCAACCTGTGTCCAGCATTTAAGCAAGCTCCAGCATTAAGGAATCAAGGCTTTCACTGAGCCTTGAAGGAGCAGGCGTTCAACAAGTTAGATAAGCACAGAATGGGACACAGGCAAGTCAACTGCTAAACATAGTGAAAACACAAGTGTGCAGTAGATTAGAGCCAAACATCAAGAACTGGAAAGCCTCCACACAAGACTGAGTGAATTAATCTTTGCCTAAACTGCCACAAATTAATTTTCCTAGCAAGGAAGGGAAATACTACAAATGGGGAAGAAATCTATAATTAAATGATCAAGAAATGAACAGCCAAGTCATAGTCACATAAGTGAAGTTAGGGAAACTAAGAACTATTCATTCCAGTTATTTATTCTGTTTATTGAATTGAAAGAAAGGGAATACAAACATTTCTGTTAAGTGCTGTGCACCAACATGGAAAAAGTGTATTTTTTTTAAAAAATCCTAATAAAAACAAATCAGAAGTTAATGTAGTTCCAATTGAACAATTTTTAAAGATATGTTTAAAATACTACACATTTATAAAATAAAAAAGTTAAAACGGTGTTCTGTAAATAATTAGTAAAACAAGTGAAAATAAATACGAGACCCAAAGTTCTTATGTTTTTAATGTAATATAGCAAAGAAATTTTTAACTACTTAATATAAGCCGAGGAGAGTAACAAAAATCCAGAAAGTTTAAGAACGCAATCCTTTGAAACATTTAATATCAGTCCATAGCAAATAGTCATTACATACCAAAAGCTCTAAGTGTTAACTAGTTCCACCACAACTCCATATAAATCTTGACAATTTAGAAATCTTGAGATCAACAATAAAGTTCTTTTCTTGATCTCTACAGCTTGGTTTGTAAGTACATACATGCTTTGAGGATCCATTTTGTCCCATATGTTTTCAAGGAGCCAATAACTTTTTCCATCTGTGCCTAAAAATGTTAAGATTCATGTCTAGCACATATACCCTAACAATGAAAAATGCTTAAGAAAAAAGATGGGGCACAATGAATTTCAAATTTATAAAAATATACTGATATTAACCAAAACCTTCCGGTCAAAGGACACTTCACATACACACGACTTAAAGTATGCAATAAAACATGACAAGTACCTAGAGCATTTGGTTCTCTGTCTGTTTATGGACCACATGCACGCACACATTCATACCAGATGGGAGGAACACTCGCACAGACATTTTATTGAATCCAGATTATCTGGATTAATAGACAGAAAACTTGTCTACAGTTTATTTCAACAACTAGAGGCAGCTACTGCAGCAGTAGTTCAACACTGCACACTTCAATTAAGTCCACCCTGTTTAAAAAAAGTGTCAGAGTTAATGAATTTATTTCTTTTAAACATCATTAAAAGTAGCAGTTTTCAAAATTAAGTATGGCAGCTGAAAATGGACTCAAGCCAATGTGGAAAATACAGGAGGAAGTCAAAAGGAGGATTAGCTGTTTATGGCATGGGTGTTCTTCTTAACAGTTGTCTAAAAAAAATTAGATACAAGTGTATTTTGTAGCTAAGAACATGGACAAACTATTGAAAGTGCATTTTTCCTCCTCCCCCTTGAGTTACAGTAGTTTGTCTGTTAGTCAGTAAATCCTGCTTTTTATGTCCATTCCTCTTTCTCTACCTCCCTCCCCATTTGGTCTGCAACATCTTCCCTCAAACTACAGCTAATTGTACGAGTCCTGGTTTCCTGCTAAGGAAGCCTTCAAAACTGATTTTGGGTGGGAGCATCACTTAGCAGTGTAGAAGTATACAACTAGACACAAACTCCCAAGAACATACTGAGTTTTATTAAACATTACCTGTTTGAAGCCAAGCTGAGAAGTAACTGGCAAGATCTGGATAGATTTCTAGCTTGCATCTTTAATCATAAAAAGAATTTAACTTTAAAGTTGGAGAACTTTAGAAAAGACAGAGGGAATTTAAAAACAAAGGCATCATCTCCCCCCACCACCCTCCCCTCCACAACAAGGACAGATCTAGCATTTTCCCTTTTGTGCTCCATTGTGCCTTGAAAATTACTTACCTGGACAGCTAAAGAACATTCAGATAATGAAATGCTTCAGCATTTTTAAAGATCTGCCTTGACAGTAACCTGGGGCTACTGTGACTATTTTAAGCCAACAGCTGGCCAGAGAAAGTTACAAAAGGAGTACACGTTTACAGTATTTTTCCTCTCTAAAATCATAGGTCTGTTGACTAGAAATACAGTAATTTATTGTGGGTGTGTACTTGTTCCAGCCTTAGACTCCAGCCTATGAACATTTTTAAGCACATGGAAATCAACATGTTGCAAATGAGCAAACTTATTTGTTTCCCCCTCACCCCCATAGTCTCATTTTATGTCTGTGCACAAAAAGTATTGGTACTTTTCAATTCACATATTGTGAATACACGACATGTTAGAAATAGTTTAGGTTCCTCTTTAATCTACAGATTGGAATGGTAGTCATTACTGCTAGATCTATAATGTCAGTTTACTGTGGGACCAAGTACAAGTAGTGTGGCAAAATGAAGATTACTCCCACCTTTCTCTCATCTCTGCTCCTCACTTGTGAGAAGCAGACAGCTATGCAATACACCCTTATTGAGACACTCTGGAAACAGTGCCATCTATATGGAGCTTTCCTTTACATTGCATAGTTGCACCACGAAACTGGAGATACCAGAACACATCTTTCTCCCTAACTCTGCTTCTAAATACCTGAAGTGTATTTTAGAGGTACAAACCAAGTCCAGAAGACAAACCCCAGAATGGAGGGGCAGTATTTTGGCAAAAGTACTAAGTTTACATTTCTAATTACAATGCATTGCAGTGGAAAGTAGGCATCAGCCCATACACACCCCTACACAGCTTGTACCAGGTAAGGAGTCTCACTTTGTTTAGGTTTGGCCACCACATTAAAAATGCCTGTTGAAGTGCATATGAGACTTTAAATCTAAGCTTGAGATTTGATCCAGCCTTCACCACCTGCCTGAAGCTCCCACTGAAGTCCCATGAGTATGAGGTAAGCAAGTAGTGCCAGACCACTGTATGAGACATTAAGAGACATCAAAACCAGGATTATCCTCCTTACTCTCCCTAAATAACATTTTGTTTGAAAACGTAAGTTCCAGAGTAAGACAATACTAAGGTAACTTCCAAAGATTCACATACTGTCATTGGTTATAAATTCTACCATGTTTTGAACATATAAAACACTGTTTGCCATTTAGGTATTCAATCTTTATTTAAAACCCAAAGGTTTAGCTTACTCAAATTTGACCTTTGGAAGTTTTCTGTTTCCCTGCAACACCGATGCCACAGGAACAAGACTGACTAATCTTACACTGTCTGAACTAGGAAGAGAAACAAACAGCTTCCTCTAGAACTAGCTAATAGAAGAAGGAACTGATTTGTAGTCTTAAGTTTACGCATGTATTCCCAGTACTGTGAAACTGCTATCAAAGAAATTCACCTTAATTTTGAGGCAAATGTACTGGATTGAACATAAGAACATTAAGTTCCTACTTCATTTTGGAGGTACTAAAAGAGGAGTATGTCAGATTCAGGGCTGGTCTGAACCAAAGTGTCAGAATCTTAAATCATGTTTAAGTTTACACAAAAGGCAAGGAAAAAAACCCACACCACCTGATGGCTGGAATCTAAAAAAATCTAACCTGCTAAGCTTCACTTTGTTTTTCTGGGAAAGAAAAAAAGGGACTGTTTATGTTAGACACCACATTCCCATTCATCAAAGTGGCTACACTTTTCTTCCCAGGAACTCCGGCAAACCTTCCCCCACCCTTCTTCCACACATGACTAATAAGGACACTAGATTATTATCTCATTAAAGGATGAAGTCCACACTTCTGTTCACATCAATTCTCAGTGGCATGCCTTTCCCTGCTCCCTCTTTACTTCACAGCAGCACCAACACTACCTTTCCACCCAATGTGGCAAAAGAGAATCTAGTGCCATCCCATTATAAATTTGTGTGTAGTGCAGAAGCACAGAGATGCCAGGCCATCTGTTTATGTCAAAAAGAATAAATACTTAAGTTATAAATGTCTTTCTCTTTTCTTAACACGGGCTATTAGTGGAACTATTCCTAGATGTGTCAAGATGTTCACAGCACCAGCTTGCAACAAGGTCTGGGAGAGGCATTTAAATCTGCAAAGTTAAAAGTATAGGCTCAAAAAGAAAATCCATACGCCTTTGTTTATCAAAGAAAAATTTCCATCATAATACAAGTGTTTAATTGTGATTTGTATGTTAATTACTGTTACAAAATGTTGACTTCGTGAAGAAAGGATTCAACACATTCTTCCCTTGAGGTGTAGCCTACCTTTTACCAGCATTGTTGCATATATTTATGTAATTAAAAAAAAAAACCCAAAAAGACCTTGTCTTTGTTTAAAGTCTTAGTCTGGTGGTGCACTCTAAATGCTTTTTTCCTAAATATCTGTAAAGACAGACAGTGAGTTTCTCCTTCTAAAACAAGCTTCACTGCCTATGTAAAGCTCCTTCCAGCCACTGCTTTTGATTGGGTCTCAAGACACTCCAGAAAAGCATCAGTGATACCGTGTTTCACGACACTTCTTGCATTGTTTTAATTCCAAATGTATACAAATGAAGTCATTTTAATCCTATAAATAATTTATTTTTTAAAAAATTGTGCTGTTAACCCCTTTGCAGGGCAGCGAGCTATGTGAAAAGTACAAAACTTTTTGTCAAATGTGATACTGAGAGTGCTTTTGACATAGTTCATTGGTTTATCATCTCAATTTATATATACTGCACAACGGGCAAGGCTAGAATCCATGAACCAAGCTGCAAAGATCTCAAGCTAAGTAAGGCAGAGAGAGACTTGAGAAACAAGAGAAGAAAATACTTTCCTATCCAATGCATACTCTTTCAGACTAAAGCACTCTTTCTATCAAGCCTTCTAAACTGTTAAATAAAGTGTTCCAAACAAGCATTTAAACTTCATAACACAGAAGAGCAACAAGAACAGTAGCCTGCCAGACAAAAAGGCAGGAGGGAAAAATATATATACCGAGTTCAATGGTTAGCCTGAATGTAGCACAGTTCTTCACAACCGATGGGGGGGTAATTTCAACACGGTGTCCAACAACGTTCTAACGACGTGCTTCATCTCGACTGGTTACTATGAAGCAGGGTGGTAAATGTTTGGCCCCAACCGGGCTTCAGAAATGGTTTTTTCATGACGAGCATGTCTGTCCAGCTATCAATCATGTTTGTTTGCACCAAATCCCAAGCCATTTAAAATACGACTAATTAAGTTAAGCTGAAGTCGTCTGCTCCAAATTCGCCATCAACTATCCATGCTACTGCATTCCTCTGAGCAAAAACAAAAACATAAGAAAAAGAAATCACACCTTGAAGATCTTATCCATAGTTAATATTTCTATTATAAGGTCATTAATACAGCGTATTTACATAAGTTTCACTGAACAAGCAGTAGTTAATGGATCTTATACTGTAACTAAATCGCATGCTAAAAATTACTTATTTTAGAGATTATTCATATTAATTTAGAGATTAATTTAGCATGTTAGGTGTTGGTACACAAAAAGCTTCTCTTCCAAAAAGAAGTAACACACATTTGCATTCAAGTTCCAGGGGAGTGTGCTAATTACAAAGCTGTCTGTCATCCGTTTAAGATTCCTAAGTTGTTAGGTATTATTCTGTGCACCTACACCTCTTGTAGAAGCACTGCTGTGAAAAATCTGTTTCCTATTGTTGTGATTTTTATGGCATTTACTAGTTCATTTCTGGAGGAACTAAGAAAGAGTGAGCAAGCAGCTAACTGGAGAAAACAAACAAACAAAACCACAAGTAAAACCAACTGGAGAATAGGCTCTGAGTCCTTATGGGTGCATTCAAGGTGTTACAAACAGGAGATTGGCCAGGCTGGTCCACCTAATCCAAGACCAGAAGCAGATGTGTCAGAAAGCACAGGAGCAGGGAAAGGCAGTAATTCTTCCTCCTAATATCCTTCCAACTATCAGCCATTTTCACCTAAGGGACATTCTGAACCAAAGGCATTTACTTGTCTAGTAGCACTCAATGGATTTCTCTTTGATTACTTTGTCCGGGTTCCCCTTGAACTTGTGTCCACACCTAGTATCCACACATCCTGTGACAATGGGATATACTGTATTTCATTTTAATGTCTACTGTAAATTTTTACCATAAGGTTGAATGTGTAAATGACAGAAGACTATAAACGGGAGAACAACCCCCCCCGGTGGTCATCTTGTTAACAATTCGGGGGGAGGTGGGGGGAGGGCAGGTAAGAAGGGTTGGGAACAAGTGTGCATTTTGGCAGCGAAAAAGGTTGCATTGTGTCTCTCTCCTGGACACAGATGATTGCTGATGGTTAGGAAAGAATCAACTGCGTACAGATTTTATGGTGGGAAACTTCGCTCTCTCCAGTTGTTGGCGATTCCTTTTGTAAGCACTGTAATACCATTATTCAATTTTACGTGCAGTCAGAATGCATTATTTAAATTTTAGTAACATTGTATGTTATTAGACCTCAAGAGTTGGAGGCAAGATTTTTCAGTCTACATAAGTAAGTTAATATAATCTTGAGGCCTTAGTGACACCACAGTTTTCCATAGGGCCACGTCAGAAATTTGAGTATCATTTTGGAAATACCAGTTGTTTCCCTTTTATTCCACAAACATAACTAACTTAGATAAAAATCAACAGCCATACATTTAAAAAAAATTCAGTAACTTCTTTTTTAGTAAAAGTGATGATTCTAACCCCAGAATTAAAAGCATTTTTCTATCCTATTTATGGTAAAGAAAATCCACCAAACTAGCTGCCTTCGATGTAACTTTTTAGTGATTAGAGAACACACACACACTGGTTTTTACCTTCAATATCCTGGTTGTCTACGAAAGGCGCTGGTCCCCATATTCTAACAGTGCCATCATCAGAGGCGCTGGCCATCATGGATGGAATCTGCGGGTTCCAGCTCACACAATTAACAGTACGTGTGTGCCCTGTCAGCTCCGCAATTGGCAGCTCACTACGCTTGTGCCAAATATATACTTTGTGATCTAAATAAAATATGCATAAAAAACCATAATGAGAAACATTGTTCTGCACAGACCAATTTGTCATATCAAATAGCACTTTCACACAAGCACTCAGCAACTAAAAAAACCCATCAATGTTGCAAAACCCATGTCTAAAACCCATGTCTGTTCAATATGCAATAGCACTAACAAAATTTTCATTCTAAAAGTGGTCAGAAGAATATGGGTAAAGCTCTTCCATTAAGAGGCACACTCCCTTTTAACACTTGCAAGTCTACTACGCTTGGTATTTGAAGAAAAACATTTGACTACAATGCAAATAAGCCAATACATGGCTAAAGAGAGAAACCAAGCTACTCTTAAAATTAACAATATGGAGTTGTGATCTTATTCAAAAGGAAGTCCTGCAGATTAGGTTTTTTTCCTCAGACAATCGTATTTACAGATTAGTACATGCATTATAAAGTCATGAGTGCTAAGACATAATATTTGCAACCACCACCTGTTGGTGAGTACTAGATAAGATCACAGGTCTATAGTTTATGAAATAGATCTTGATACTAAAGACCTAAAGCATTCCAGTGAAAGTGCAGAGCAAATCAGGGAGGGCAACAAAGCTTAATGTCTCAAGTCGTGAGCTATTACCGTCTTTGACAACAATTGTGGTATTTAAAGATATGAACGTGTACGTATTAAAGTAGATGCAATAAACAACCCTACAGATCTTATTTTGTGATAGGAAGCTTTTAATTACTTCTAGCAACATGCTAGAAACAGAACAGTGAACTGGTCAGACACTCCACTGCAATTTTTAGAGAAGTGTTACTGCTTTATAACCAACCATATTTAAGAATAAATGACTAAAGGTGTTTCCCCAACTGTAGACTAGCAGCCTTTAACAAGTCTGTGGGCTCACCTCTCTAGGAATGTCTTTGGAATATTCCAAACAGAATTATACAAACTAAAGAAGTATGCATTACTAGTATTACACAAAAGCCTAGTATTTAGGTCTAGCATATCAAATGGAAGTATTTTAATTCATTTGAAAGATTTTAACATAGATGTCATTCTGAAGGCTTAGCAAACAAACCAGTCTTCTTCTATTCCTCCTCCCAACCCCTTACAAAACAAACTTGCTCTCTGACCTACCTGCTAGAATACCATAATGGAACCATGTGATAACTCAATTGTCTTCTGCTGAATCAGCTCATTTGAGTACAACACCTTTATATATACTTGTATTGATGCAAATGTTCTGGTTGTGTTTACATTCTACTTAAAATTTCAAGAGACTACATATCCACACTATTCAAACAACACAATTCTCTCTCTGCTTAAATACTGGACACCCAAGCCTCTGCTATCTGGGAGCATCAAAGCCTAAACACAAACCAGTATTTTGGTGCTTGTCAGAATGTCTGTATTTTGTTTTAGAAAAAACAAGTTAGCTAGATTAAGTCAGCAGTCAATTTCCCTCTTAGAAAGAGACCTCCATTTTCCTCCTATTGATGCAAGTGTTAGAAAAAAGCCTACCTAGCCAACAACATACCTTAAGAAGTTATGACAATGTAATCAATCTATTACTTTTTTTAAAAAGGCTATGACAGTGTGATCTCTTATTTTTGTTTGCTTGCTTTTTTAAGATACATAAACTTTCTCAGTAGCCACATTTGCAACAATTCAGTGCAAAGAGGCAACACCTTCAGACAGTCCAAATCTAAATAGGGTGCCATCAGTTTCAAATATTGCTCAGTAGTTTTTAGACAATGAAGATAAAGAATAAATAGGGGGGCGGGGGGGGAAGGACTGGTGCACTGCAGTATCTACACCTACGCATGCACATCAGTATGCCTCAACATAAATCCTGAACTTTCCAGTACTCAGGTCCCAAATCAAGAACCTTGTTCAACCATGAAGAGGTTCACACTGGATTAGAGGTGCTGTCCTTCAGTCATTATATTCCACTGTGTCTGGTCAGAGGGCGAAATTCAGCTTTATTTTAGACATATTTGGTATTTTCCAGAAAAGGATAGTAGTAATGTCCTGGCCAACCTTATTTCCCAACAGCTGTGAGTTACACAGTACTAACAGTGATTGATTACATATTCCAAGTGTAAGTCTTAGCCCTACATAGGCTTGAATCTTAAGTGACCTCCATGGGAGGTGATGGCACTACATCAGTGACAGAACTGAACCAATTCAACATATAAACCATTAACTAATTTCTATTGTTGCCACAGACAGTTCAATAAAAACATACCACAAAGCCTTTGATCACCAAGAAACCCTACCAGACTATGTCAACAACTGCTTAATTTGAGACTACTCCTTCTGTAATTAAGCTGACAACACTATTGAAATTAAAATAATCTCACCACACCTATATCTTTAACAGGCAAATGAAGCACTCCCCAGAAGTATTTTTGATTCAAACCATAAGCCTAAGTATCATACCACAAAAAGCCTCAAGAACACCCCACCCACTTCTAATTAAAACTGTGCACATACTTTTGCTTTAGAGGAGCAACATAAAAGATTCATTAATACTTTCTACTACTACCATCCTCTCAAAAGATTGTTTCTGCTAGCACACAATTACTTCTTGAAGTATGCCAAAATCTCAGCGCTCCTCAAACTTACTTAATGAACCAGTTGCTTGCTTTTATAGATGACAGCTGCTAACAAAATTATAAAAGTAAGGTATAGGAAGGATACAGTGTTCCAGTTTTCTGCACAAAAGGGAATGATGTTACCTTCGCTGCCACTTGCAATGAAATCTTCATTATGACCTCCAAAACATGAGTGAATTGTGTAAAATCCTTGTGTAACACCTTGATACTTTCTCACTAAAACTCTGTCTTGTAAGTCCCATAAGTGAACTCCCTGGGAATAAGAAGTATAAAAAACATTATTTTATCATTAAACATTATTCATTACATTCTTTTGAAACACAAAAAAAACCCCAAAAAACCAAACATGATGAAAGTACATTACTTCAGCCAACTTCAGTACTGTTACTAGGTCAAGAGAGTAAAGATATACCGAATTATAGAATCGCAGAATCGTTTAGGTTGGAAAAGACCTTTAAGATCATCCAGTCCAACCATTAACCTAACACTATCAAGTCCACCACTAAAGCAATTCAGGGGAGAGTCATAATTAATTTCATGTTTCCTGGCTTGGTGGCCGGATTATTTTTTAATGAAAGTAAAACTAGAACAGAATCATTAAGTTTGAGAAAGGACCTCTAAGATCATCAGTCCAACCATCAACCCAA